TTAAAATCATGATTTTAGTCATGTTCAGTATTTATCAAAGGTATTTTCAAAAAGAGCTTCAATATAAAGAAAACGTCAGAAAACTTTTATGAAAGTCTGAAATCACAGTTTCCCTTCAATACTAATTTAAGTCGTCGAGATACACAAGCATTTATGATTTATTATCACTTTCGAAAACTTTTCTCAGACTGTGAGAATTAATGATTAATATCGAAGGTAATGCTGCTATTACGTACATCTAGTTGTCAGTATAATGTCAACCCAAATAACTTAATCAGTTTTAATTCTTTTGATGTATTTTGTGTATCGTACTCTCCATCAGCCTTATATTTAAATAATTTTTGTTTAATAATTTTATAATTTTTATTTATAGAGGAATTTTAAAAAATCTTTGGGTATTCAAATTTTATATTAACTGAATAATAATATGAAAATTCAAAAAGCTAAGCTTTATCATTTTATTTTGATCTGACTTAAAATGAAATGCAGAACACATCACTTTTGAAAGACGAGGAAGGGATATAGAAATGATGGATGATAAAGCTTTATCATTATAAATTATGCACCCATTTTTATTTTTGCTGTAGGTCTGACTTAAATAAAAGAAAAATTATTTTATTATATTATGTATTATATATTATATATTATATANGTCCGTTGTAGACACTATTACCAACGTTTAACTCTCTCTTCCCCTTATTATATTATATTATATTATATTATATTATATTATCCCCTGTATTAAATATAAAAATTTGTTAAGTGATAAAATTTGTATCGCACTTATTGAACCAGAAAATACGATAAGGAGAGATCCAAATACATTGTGCTGTTATTAACAGAAAATTAAGTTTCCCCAAAAATACACTTGTAAGTTATTTATTATTTTTAACAACCTTTATTGTTCTTTAATCTGGTGTATATAAAGGTGACGCAGCAGAATTCATTGCTTAACTTATAGAAGTTATCATAAAGAAATGTGAACAATTTTTAAGTATTTTTTATGATATTTAGTAAGCAGAGACCTATTTTAAAGTCCATTATTAACTTCCATGATTGCTGTACAATTATTTTTGTTGTTTACTGCAAAGTATATTTTTTTAATGCTCCAATTATTCACTCTAAAAGAGAAATTGTAAATATGTGTATTATTATCCGTTACAGTTAGATTTTTTATTATGTTTATTCAAAATTAAAACATTTGAACTATTATTTAACCAAAGTTACTAAATTTTTAATGGTAACAGAATTGTTTTGGTTTATAATATTATTTTAAACAACGTGATGATAAGAAAAAATTAGAATTATAAAGATATTTGAAATGATACGAAAACACTTTGTTTCAAAAAGAATAAATATCATAGCGAATTCTGATTAAATGACATAGAAACCACACTATGATATAAAATTATAATTTGCAAACATTTGGTAATTTTGTTTCTTTCGTTTTTGTTTCTTTCATATCTTTTGTTTCTTTTAAAAACACATTAATAAAGTGTGTTTTTGAAAGAAACAATCTATATGTGTAATATTCTTCTCTTCAACAAAATTTTTAATTATATTTATTCAAAATTAATTTAAAATATTATTTAACCAGAGTTACCAAAGATTTAATGGTAACAGAATCATACTATGATATAAAATTATAATTCGCAAATATTTGGTCATTTTGTTTCTTTTGTTTTTGTTCCTTTTATATCTTTTTTTTTAAAGTGTTTTAAAAAGAAACAAACTAAATATGACTTCAGTCTAATCCAAGAGAATATTGGCCTTCAATATCAAAAACACTAAATATTTCCAGACTTATTAAGGATATTTAGTTTATCAAATAATGTGAGCAGTTATACATTTATCAACAAACAATTTCCAAAAAGAAATTGAAAACAAATACTATATTTTCTTATATTTAATACTTCAACTAATGCAATCATAATAATATAATCATAATACTGTACGTAATCATAATACTATACGTGCATAATGTGTATAATACTGCAATGTAAGTAATAATACTGTACATATAAAATACGAACTGGAATTGTATATAATATGAACTGTATACATAAAAACTGTAACATGAACTTATATTTCATTAGCTTTAACACCAAAGATTTTTCATAGAAACGTGGAAGCTTTTATGTAAGCATAAAATGTCAGATTCCTTTAATATTAATTTAAGTTGTCTAAAAGCATAAACATTTATGATTTATTATCACACGCGGAAAGGTTTCTCAGAGAGTAAGGATTAATGATGAATATCGAAAATAGAAATTTTCTTCAGTACATTTAGTTGTCAAGCAAACGTCAAGCTTATTACTTTAATTTCTTTTGGTGCTTTTGAAAATCTGCTTGATTTTCAGAATATTTTAATATAAATGAAGAAAAGTAGTAAGTAAAACTGAAAGCAAGATGTTTTATAACTGAACGTGCTCAAAATATCGGTTAATTATATATCTAATTAGCAAGAAAAATATCATTTTTCATTATTTTAAAAATATTTTTCAATTATAAAAAATTAAAAAGGGAAAAATTTATTTTTTCCTCGTTGTAGTTTTAAAATTTCAATACATTTTATTTATTTATTACATTTATCTGATAATTTGAAATAAATTTGTTGTCTTAACAACGCAAATGTCTTTGTAATAAAAAAAGTAGTCGTTGTAACTCCAAATTAACTATATTTATTATTAACTATTTACATTTATTATAACACTATATGTTTGTTATATATTTATATTTATAACACTATACTTATATTTATACTTATATACTTATATTTATATGTATAACACTTATTTATAACACTATATGTGTTATTAAATTGCGTAATTATTAGTTTAAATAAGTTATGCTAATTAAATTATATTTTTAACTTCGAAAACATAGAGAAACATGCTTGTGTACTTAATTTCATAAAGATGGTATTAGTTGACGCCAAATTAGTACATAGTTTTTTACCTTACAAAACTTACACGTTGATGAAAACATTGTTTTATGAGTTATTTTGAACTGCAATCATAAGGTTGACAGAAATTGATAAATCTTTCCATTAAAACCGTTTATTTTAATAAAGAAGAATCGATATATGTTGTTGTTGCTGTTGGCCATTAAGGCAAACTGTGCGATTGCTCTTGTTTACCAGTGGCGCCATCTATGGCCAAAAATTCAACTTCTACCACACACATTCCATTTATAGGGTGAATCCATTAAACATACATTCATTCATCCACAGTTTGTAATTTTGACCTGAAACAGAGGAAGATCTATCTCCAATTCAGAACCCCCCACAGGTATAATTTATTATAGAAACATGGAGGACTTTGTGACCAGACAGATTTACGAGCACCAGTCACTATTTACTACACGGGGAGTCTTTGGCCAGATGAATTCGAACTCTCGTTCTAACGAGCGTGAGTCCAGTGCCCTGCCAACCAGGCTATGCCAGCCTAGCATAGATCTATAAATTTTATAAATTATTCTAAAAGGGAATAATGAGGTTTCTGCTAAAGTCATAGATTTATTTTTAATGTAATTAACGTGGAAATAAAAAAGAAGCATTGCATTATTAATGTTTAAAATTAAAATAACTCTTTAATGAAAACATTGACTTAAAAATAACTTTAAAGAATCATAATAGTATATACAAATGAAATAAACTATTTTTTAACTTTTATAAACATAGACGTTAAGAGAAACATTGCTTCATCAAGAAGTAATGTCAATAAAAAAAATTTAAAAAAACAACGTTAATAGCAAAATAATAATTACAGTAAATAATAGATATTCGCTATATGGATTATTGATACCTTGCATAGTACTAAAAAAATTATGAGTAATTTTCTTTTAAAAAATTAAAACAAGAACAAAAAGAAAATACTCATACCAAAAGGCTTACATAACTTTATAAGTGTACTAATCTATAATTCATTTTGAAAATAAGTTATAAGATTTAAACAGACATTATGGGCGAAAAGCTTTTACTTACGGATTGAGCATTTATAAAAGAACATTCTTTGCTTAGCTCATTTTAAAATAATAAATACTCACATTAAAAGAGCATTTCCCGCATAATTTGTTTTGAGAGAAAATAATAAAGTTAGCTAACTTTAAGAAAAAATGGTTAAACTAATTGCTTACACATTAAAAAAAATACATTGCATTATATTTTATTTAAAAACAGAATTAATTAGGTACAAGTATAGTTAAATAATTTTAAAAGAACTTAAATTTAGACTTACAAGTAAGAATGGAGAAGGATATAAATCTTCTTAAAGATTAAATCCGTTTATTATTTCCGTATAATATTACTCATTTCTTATGAACACATTTTCCTTAGCCCGTTTATTGAAGTAGAATATTAAAATATATATATATTATGCTTTCGAGCTGGAAAAATGAAATCAATCTGTGTTTCAATACTGCGTTTTTAATTAAACATTCATGCACTACATGAAAATTAATCACGAAAAACCTTTCATTTCTTTTGCCTTCGTTTCATAAAAAATGGTTAAAACTTCTAACATTAATGATCCTTATATGGCTATCAGCGTCGATGTTGCACAACAACAAAGCCTAATGGAAATAAATGTATACATTATGTAAAAAAGGAAATCTTAATGATTCGAACGGATATTAAAGACAAAAGAAAACTGCTTCTGATTAAGAAAATTTACATTCAGAACAACAACTAATTACCTTTATAATATTAAAGCAAACGACACTAATGTTATCAATAAAGAAATTTTGTTCTAAAACGTTTTTTTTTTCGTTCAATATACCATGCAAAAAGTTACTTAAGTATTCTAAACTGCGATTGCAACAAATTATGCAAACGATCTTACAGTCACAAACTTTGTAATTATCGTTTTAAGCTTTTTAACAAAGACAATTTGAAAATTCAAACAATTCTTATTGTTGTTGGTTTAAGTCGTTTTCTTTTAAGAATATTATCTACTTGTTTAGACTTGTTTTAATTCATTTTTTCTGATTTTTTGTTTCAGATTTTGGAGTATCTTCAGGTGCTCAAGATCATGCGTCAGGTAATTTTTAAGTTACATTTTGTAAACGAAATGACAGTTGCTTGTAAATTAAAATAACCTTTTTGCTTTTCCTATTTGATACATTTTGCTGATTATATTCTAAGGTTGGCTAAACTATGATGTGTAGAAGAATATTTTTATCACAGACTCTGCCCATGCATAACTTTAGACACGTAAGCTGAAATGCATTGAACAAATAGTGCATGTTTTACGTAGGACAATGTATGCCGTTTGCTGTTTAGATAGTGCTAATATACTGCTATACAAAGGAAGAAACCCTATATCAGTGTAAAAAATAAATTGAAATAAGAAGCTTCGAAATTTGCTTTTTAAAATAATATTTTTGTCTATTAATGAGCTTCAATTTATAATTTATTGCAAATAACATTATTTTTTCAAAAAATGTATTTGTAATTGTCATATATTGTTTGTAAATTTTATTAGCGAATTATTGGCAACGTAGCTTCAATAATAAATAATTAATAATGTAAAATATTTGCAAGTAATTACCATTACAAATATTATATCATGATTTCAACAGTTTTATAGCTCCTTAAAAATGATGAAACTACTGATACAATTATTCATGTTATGGATTTTTATTAGAGACTATCTATATTCCTAAATATGTCACTAACTGCATACCATAATCTGAAATGTTTCATATAAATATTTTTATGTTTTAATCTAGCACAAGATAAGGCATTAAAAGATTTCTTTTTAATATAGAAATCGAATCAAATTAATAGAAATCGAATAAAAATCGAGTAACTACAAAAAGAGAAACAGAAACAAACATGCAATAAAGAGTTTTGAATTTTAATCTCTTAAATATTATTTTTATCTCATAAAAAGTTCTCCAATTCCATGTAAATTGGAACCTATTGTTGTTACATTTATATATTATTCGTAAATTTTCATTCTAAAAACTAAGTTATACAAATAATATATAACAACATTATACATTAACTTTTATCAGTACACTGTTATTTTCGCGAAAAAATGGCTAAATAACAGTTTATTTAATTGTTATTTTATTATATTCAAACAAAACTGTCAAATCATTATAAATAAGAGGGTAATCAAACTATTAGCTGCGAGAAATACCAATTCTTAACTGTTTTCACCTAATACGGTTGAACAACCAGAATTTTATCGTATTGTTTTGTATACATGGTTTCTTAACTATAAACGGTTTCAAAACAGTAAAGTTCAAAAATTCTTTTTACCGTAAACTTTACGGTTAATTGGATGGACAGATTGATAGGTTATTTTACCGTAATTTTAGAATAAAAATTCTAACAGTGTATACTAAAAAATAAAACACATACTGATAAAAATACGGATATACTGAGTTTTCATTACAGAATAGGCCTATTCATAAAATATATCTCCATATACTTTAAACAAATAAGTGGAAATGCATGGAAAAAATATTTTTATCTTTAACCAAACACACAATATGACATTTCAAGTTTCCCTTTTAATATTGCCAAAACATATGTTTGCTTTCATATCTTTAATGCATGTAAACCTCTGAGGATTTAAAATATGTGACTTGCAACAAAAAATTCCTTTTTTCATTTTCTATTATAGTTCGTATATAAGTAAAAAGATACGTCCGAAAACATGTAATATATAATTCATAAAGGGAATATGTACTTCATTGTTCGAGTACTTAAATCAAGTTAAATCTTGTTGCTTATAAATGAAACAAAACATCTTTAAATTTTAAAACTTGTTTTAAATGTAACACAATTAGAACTCTCAAAAGTCATAATATGTTTCTAATTACTTATTTTGAGAACTATTAACTAATTTAATTTTAAAAAGTTCTTAAAATTTGAGGAATTTACTTGTTTTACGAAAAACGTTTCAAGAATCAAAACATTTTAAATAGATTTACTATTCTAAAGTTACAGTTTGTTTTTTCTATATTTAATTGCAATTCATTATACATACATATTTTTTTGCTTTAGTTCAATTTAATTTTATAAAATGATAATTTATTAATAATTTATTTTAATATTTATTATTGATAATTTAATAAATAGAGAAAATTATTTATAAAATATAATCAAATTTATTTTTATTCATCTCACTGTAAGAAAGATAGCAGTATTTAGGTGCATGTTCTATCGTTAAAAAAATTAATTGTATGTGAAGCTATTTGCATAATCGTAATGCTACCAATTTGGCTGGAATTTACACCACTGTATAATTTACACTATCTTGAATCCAGAGACTTGTCAGTCACAATTTTGATATTGTTTTTATTATTAAAAAGAAAAACTCTTAATAATTTAATCAAAATGATAAAAAGTTTAAAAAAATCCTTTTTTTTATTTTTAAGCCTATAAAAGTTACAATACAATGTTTTATAAAAGTTCACTTCAATTTTAACACAATTACACTTAAATTTCAAAATACGTTTAGAAAAGAATTAAATAAAACATTTTTTAGAAATTTATGTTTTTACATTGTTATGTTTTTATAAACTTATGTTTTTGTTTTTTTTAAAATATGCTTTTTATAAATGTATGTATAAATTTGTTTTCTAAAAAAAAAGTTTTTTCTTTATAAATTAATGTTTTTTTTTAAATTTTATATTTTTTAAAAACAATTTATGTTTTTTTTTTGTAAATTTAAAAATTTTATGTTTTTTAAAAACAATTTATGTTTTTTTGTGAATTTTAAGTTTTTTAAAAACAGTTTATGTTTTTTATAAATTTATGTTTTTTATAAATTTATATTTTTTTATATAAATTTATGTTTTGAAGATTTCTCACAATGCAATTAATTGCAATTTCTCTCAAGATTTTCTTAGGCAAATATGTTTGCTATTTCTAAATAAACTTTCCTCATTAATTATTTGTATCTTGGCTAACAGGAACAATAATAAACTAAATTGATTAATTCAGGAAGGAAATTTTTTTTTCAATAAATTACATTTGCCTTACTTATGAAATTACAAAAGCTATTACTGGTCTAATTATATGCGTGTAATTTAAAGTATAATATCACAAAAATTTTTACATATATATTCAACACTCCAAGCATGCATGCAGTAACAGTAACGTTTGTTTAAATCCTTGCAAACCATTGTTTATTTTTACCCAAATTATCATCACCTTTATCTTTATCTGCAAAAACAGTAGCATATGCTCTATAAGAAGAGCCTAACTAAAAAATAAAAATATTTTGCATTTTTTCGAAATTTTCTTGCAAATTTATTTTTTTCAAGTCATAAGACATTAATAATTCAAAATTTTCATTTAAAATATTAGATCCCTATGATCTAACTTTTTTACCTATTATTTTCAATATCAGTCTATTTAAAAATAAAGTAACACTCATTTAAGGAGTTTTTACCCGTACAATTTAAGGATTTAAGTTTATTCCGCTATGATAGATGTATAAAAAACGATGGATAAAAATCGAGAGGGCTTTTTATTGCTTCCTAGTACAGGTCAAAATCAATATTTCATGACGACAATCTTCGTTTCAATTGACCCGTAAAAAATTTTACTCTAAGGACTTTCCCTAAACTACAGAAAACTCTAACATTCTTAACACATTTACCAAAACTCAACAATTCTCTTGATATCAATAATTCACGGGGCCAAGAGTGACCTAATAAAACATGATTGTCCGATGGTTCGCTCAGCAAATCTGATCTAGAGGAGTGAATGGGTGTGAAGAAAATATTACATATCCCCTGTATTGCCAGATACGGATTGGTATCCAGTTACGGGCCACCATGCCAACACCTCCCTTCGCTTCACTTCACCCAAGAAATTATTTATGTCGTCTGACTCCCCATCTTCTTCTCTAATAACTAAAGGGAAGAGTTTTGTCCTTTTGATGGTCGAAGACAAAGAAGGGGTGGTCAAGGGGACCTTTTCTTCATTAGCTGGAGTGCTTTTCATTATATCTGGCGGGTATGTGGGCGGAGCTTCTCCCCCTTTTTCTCGGAGGACCCCTCTTCCATCATATCCAGAGAACAATTTCATGAAGATAGTCGTCTTGCCTCCCCACAAACTTCTACGCCCAATGAAACAAAACGAAATGGAACTGTCAGCATGACTGTGTGGATATTTTTCTTGGAAGGAATTATTCCTGTGGCTGTTCTGTTAGAATAACTTCTTTTACCCTTTTTAATTTGGTCTATGTAATACAGAGACCCATTGCTGAGAAGGGTTATTTTTCATACATGTGTAACAGAAAATGCTTCTTTTATGCCAAATTGCGCCTGAATTTGGTTTCTTATAGTGGCTTCTCTTAATAAAAGCAGCTATTATTCATTCTTAGTCAAATTATATTTGCACACATTACCGTTGGAGTTTTTTATCGCTGGTATTTACATTCAGAGATAGGACAAAACACTTCATTTTCGTACTTTCATTCAGGAAATGGAAGTGCAGACGAGATATTCCCTTCCAGTTCCCCTGAGAGTTACACAATCTTGCATAATTTTCGACTCTTCAGATCGTTCCAAATGGTTCTTCTATTTTATTTTTGAGGTATGATTTCAAATAAAAAGCTCAACCATTCTCATTTACGTCAAAAACCAACATCTTTGTTGAAGCTATAAAATGTACTTAGATTTTGTATCTTGTTTAGGCATCGCAAACTTAGCTGCCACTTGAAACACGTGTTGTAGCAGAGACTAAAACTTTCTGGTGAAACTGTAGTAGTACAATTTTGATTTACATTCTTCGCTGTTTTTAGTTTGCTTTTTCGAATAGCACATCTTATTTTGAGTAGTTTTTAAGAAAACTTTGTTCTTAAATATGTAACAAAATATGGCTGTTGGCATCCACGTTTTTTTAAAAAGCAGTTTCTTTACATTATATTTAGACAATGAAAATAACAATTTGTTTTGTTACATTTTATTTAATCCTATTACAATGACAGTTTTCATTTTCATTTCAAAAAATGAAATCAAACTCTAACCTTGAAAAATCTCATTCATTTTTAATTAATACGAAATGATATTA